TGTGTGTGTGTGTGTGTGTGTGTGTGTATATAAAATTAAACAGGAAAGGGAAGGCAATTTTGTAGACAGATGAATAAAAACGTTACATAATCAAACTGGACTGAAGGGTTATACTAAAAGGTAAACTGCAGAGAATTAAATGCAAATAAAAGAGTTCACCTTGGTAAGCCTTCTCTCGCTTCTTCTTCTCAGTCTCTATGAAATGTTCGGAAGCAGCTTTGATTTTCTGTGCCCAGGCCGTTCTGATTGATTAAGCATGAAGAAACACCTGATCTGTTACCAGCACAGGACACCAAGGGAGTCTGCTTCCTTGCTCAGTTCTCCTTAGTCTCTTCTCCGACTCCCTTCCTTTCCCACTAACCTCTCATTGATGTTCTCCGTCCTGAGAGTATAAACACGGTCGATGTGGGAGATGTGGAAGATTGGCTCATCGCTAGATGGGTCGGAGGGCATCTTCACTAGAACTTCATTTAGAAACACGGGCTGGTTGGAAAGAAGACCAAAATCGGGCCATATACACTCATTAAAGTGGACGTACACGCAGGAGAGAAAGCCTGTAAAAATGAGCTAAACATATAACTAAGGAAGTGGCACCTCTTTCTAGAAAGTTTTACTCCAAATTGTATGTATATGGAAGTTCATTTAATACGCAATGTATGATTCTGTGCCGTAGATGTAACTGTCTGGTATTGCCAGGCCCCCTCCATCACTCCCCAGCATAAAAAAAAAAAAGTGTCTCACGTTCTTGTACATCTTGAACTGCATGTTGCACTTGGGACTGAAGAGCTTATCTGTCCCTGACGAGGTGAACTGCTTCACTGCTTGGGTGAGCAGCAGGAAGTCGTTGAAGAGGAAGGCGTATAACTCCTTGTTGCTCTTCGTTTTATAGACCTTGCCGCTGTGCAGCAGCTTTCGGGGACCCAGGCAGTTGGTCAAGGAGTTGAATATCAAGTTCTGTAGGGAAATGGAACAATTGGAAGAGGACAGAAGTGTGACGGTGTCCAGTAAACTGTAGGAGAGCAGGAAAAATCCAGACCCCAACACATAGTAGGATTTACTCCGTAGACAACTTTGTTAGAGGCTGTGCATGTATACAGAAACATTTGTTAAGAACTTCAGGTGGGAATATTGTCTATAGCCTGGGTTTTATATAATCTTTGTGATATAGTTCCAGTAGACGTCCTCACCTCAGTGATGCCTTCACACTGGACATGGCTCTGAATCCACTCTAACCTGTCAGAGTTCTCCTTCTCCCGGACCCCCTCGTTGACCTGCAGACAGAGCTCCTCGGCCCTGTCCAGAGCCTCCCGCAAGTGTCCGTGGTCCAAGTGATTCTCTGGAGTGTTCTCGAGGATCTGCGGAGCAGGAGATTTGGAGATAAGTCTGGGGCCTGCCTAAGAATGAACTCTGTCTTTGGTCAAGGACTGTGGAGGACAGGGCAGAGTAACGTTACTGGCAGTTTGATGTTATTCAGGTACATCCACCCATCCCAAAAAGATTATAACTGGTGCAGCATGTTTTGTTCCAGTTGACATCCAACATTTCACAATACTCATACTCACTCTTCTGCCTGAAGTTTTTGCATTTCATTGGTATTTTACTCCAGCAAAAAGGCACATTCCGTCTTGTATTTGCTGACCGTGATGGACACAACCATTACCATTTGGTCCCCAAAGGAATTCTCACACGAACGGCAGCTTTGGCTGGGCAAAGTCATAGCTAGCCGCAGCCCGAATTCAAGGCAAATTGGATGAGGCTAATTCGTCGTGTCTCCCACATTGCATGCTGAAGGAGGGACAGAGGGTGACACTGCGCAGGACTTACGTTCTTGATGATGAGTGGATAGCGGGTGATTCTCTGCATGGGCTTCAGCAGGAAGCTGGACAGTGGCATGCCTTTACACCGGTGATCTGTAGCGATTTTCTGAGAGCGCGAGAGAGAGAGAGAAGACTTAGGAGTCAGAAACCCCAGTCTATGTCCTCATCCAAAGCGCCACTCCAAATTTCAGTCTGGGTGCTTCGAATGAGTGGAGTACAGAGGTCTCATAGTACATAGTAGTGGCCCACAAGATATCTTAACTGATTTTCATATCTGGCCCAGAGACTAACCTTTTTGCTCTCATTAGCTTTTATTCTTGAAAGCCCATTCCTAGAATTATGTATTCATATTTTCCATTATGCATTTCATCCATTTAACATGCCACCTCCTTTTCACTGAGGACATTTTGGCCGCTGCTCGGAGCCCCTTACAATTCTCCCGCCTATCGATTACCCCGGAACAGCCATAAACTATAAAGTATCTACCCCTCCCATCCGCTCCAGAGCTGCCGTCCACCATTCCTCACCTTGAGGAAGTCCTTGAACTCAGGTTCCTTGTCGGTCTTCTGCTGCAGCAGGGCGGCACCGTTAAGCTGGCAGCTGCAGAAGCGGATGTAGGCCTGCATGTGCGAGAGCTCCGAGGCCAGGATGTCCCCGATCATCTGCACCGGCATCTTCTCGCCACCCGTTTTCTTCCTCACCCTCAGTGCCCTGCCATGCACAAACACAATGATCGAAACCGCAAAGGCCGTCAAGCCCAGTACCAACTAATGTCTTCCTAAAAGCTCTGATGAATTTCAAAAACAATGCACAGAATGCTGGCCAGTCAGTTCTTTAATTGCAACAACCGTACAGCCTGTTTTGTTATTATCCATCGACTGCGTTGATAATTCCTTTTCCTGGGACTTCACTATGCCTCTGACATTAGCTGTTGTGGGATACGATACTGCAGTTCATATTCCTAGCGCAAGGTGGCAGCATCAGATCACATTTCATTCCCAAGAATTTCAGCTACCAAGAAGAAACAAGCTTGTGGAAAGACACACTTGTGAAGCTTGGTGTTGGACATAATCAGGTCCTTCCAGTTGACAAAGATCATGGCCATTTCAACATCTGTCAGGCGTCCCGACTCAGACATGGGCTTGTGAAACACCTGGGGGGAAAAAAAATGAGAGGAAGGCATATTTGGAAAGGGTTAATAAAAGTTAATAAGGAAGAACAAAATGTTGGGGAAAAAAAGTTAAACACACGTTCCGGCACATAAACCTACAGTCAAAGACCTATACATGAGATCTATGATGAGAAAATAAAAACTCAAAACTGCAAATGCTTAAAGCAGACTGTCCATCACACAGGAAGCTGTTGCAAAGACCCCACAGGGACCCACTGCGAGTCATACCTCCAGGACCAGCTGAAGGTCAGCCATGTATCGCTCCTCCGTCTCAATGAGCTCGTGGATGTAGCCCTGTCGCTTCCTCTCCTGAGGACTCATGGTGTCCAGGCTGGTCAGGTCGGCACACCCTGCAGGGTCGGGGATGGCA